AAGAAACATCATTAATACATGAAAACAGGTTTCGAAAGCAGATCGTACTTCTAAATAACACAACAAACACTCGGAAATTTTCACAATATAATAAAGAGTTTGCTGGTCTAAAGACATTGTGAAGATACCCATGTTCTGAATTTGGAGAAAATTTAATCTTCTATAGACACGAAGATTCTAAAAGAATGGCTTAATAATGTATATCTTTACGGAAAACACTCCCAAGCAGGAGTCATTGGTTGATCACTAAAAATTTCATAATCATTAAAGGTTTCTGGCTTTTAGAAACATTTAGAGGTAATTATATAGTATAAAAGTAAAAATAAATATATTATTTCATAAAATAGGAAAAATTTCAATGTTCAATTCGCTGCTATTTAATTTTAAAATAAGTTGTAATTTAAAATATTCCCAAAATATTTACCGATAAATTTTTCATTTGACGACAAACTTCGGCCACATTTTTCGTCGATTCCACATTATTGACGAACGAATCGCTACAAAATATATAAAAATAATTAGGTAAATAACAAAACAATGTGATTTATTAGCGTAAAACTCACCGAAAAAGTTCATTGAATTTAACCGAAGCTGCCAAATGAAACACCAGCGAAACATTCTTCGTTATCAAATTCATATGACACGAAGAAATTCCTAAGTTCTGTCTTGTGAGGTCCCCTTCGATGCATTCCACTTTATTCGTAATTTTGGGATTTTTCAATAAAACATTTTCGAAAATCTTTCACGAATATAAAAAATATATAAGAAACTCGATAACAAATTTGATTTCATAAAGTAATACGGGGGTAAGCGAGTAGAAAAATCGGGTAAATTTGCATTGTCATAATTGTGTTCGATTTTGTGTAAAAATGTACTCAATTCTGACAACACGAAGGCATTTATTAGTTAAATAAACCGACAACGAGTTGCTCGACATTTCCGGCAATATTTAAAATTTTGGTGCCGCCATCTGTTATCGTATTTTATTGAAATTTTTTTATACCTGTAACTACAATAAAATAATAAAAAGCTTAATTTGGAGGGTAAAGATGGGTTTTATATCAACAATTTTAAATGCTAATAACGAATAAAATAATCATTAATCTCTTGTATTCTGTTCAGAGTAAAAGATATCCAAGCATAAGAAAATCATCAGGTACAGAGTAATTATAAGTAAAACTACTTTCTGAAAACCTAAGTAAATTTCAGTGTGTGTGTGTGTATCGGCATTTATTTTGCATTATATCTCCGGACTACAAAATTTAAATTATATGAAACCCGAGTTTTAAAGAATATAAATGAAGTGGAGCAGTCATGTGAAGACACACTTAATTGTAAAGTTTCTCGTTAATGGCATTTCGATTTACTTTAATACCATAATACAGCCTAAAATCAGGCTTTATTTTTTGCAAGTAAATAATATTAAAATTAGCTGTTAATAAAGCGTAATTAAATATGGCGCAAAACTTTAAATCTCGAAGACAAGCGGATTTTACGTATGCAGAATGATTTAGTTATCACGTACAGAATTTCTTTACAAGTTTTATTTGTAATTATGTCACTGATGGTCAGACGTAACGAAATGAACTTACCCAGTTTTCTTTTATACATGTGCCTCTGTAATACTATTATTGTAATCGCTCTCTTCGGTATTGTGTTTATATTTATACATCAACCTGTAGAGATCGAATTTGAAGTTGGAAAGAGATGTAAAAGAATCAAAATTTACAAGTTATTATACTCAAAATGAGCGAAGAGATTACGTGGCACTAAGCAGTTGCAAAAAATGGCGCTCTAGTGAACGTGGACACGCAACGAATTCGCCTCTGCAGGCATTAATTCGCTCGCTTAGTTTGGCTATAGGTATAAAACACTACATTTGGAATGTATTGATTTTGTGTTGGGTAATTCGCTCCTAGTTACAGTTTCTGCATTCGTTCGCTCGTTCGCTAGATACTGCAAGTGTAAATAAGCCGTAACTTGCAACTACAGTTTGAAAAAGATGTTTTGATGTTTTTACACGAGAAATATAAAATATCATTGTAAGGCATTTCTGTAGAAATCGCACTTCTACAATATCACGTATGATGTGTAGAAGTGCGTTTGAATTTTGTTTGTACGTTTGAATTTTGTATCAGCCGGTAATTCTTGCAGAAAAATGTAAGTAAAATAGCGAATAATTCAATCTATTAAATTCTACTTTCACTTTAATAAAATATGTTATTTTAACTTACTTTAGAACGAAACAATTCTGTTTTCCTTTCTTCCGCTGGCATCCCTTTCTTGCATCTGATTAAAATGTAAATCTTTCTGGTATTGCAAGACCTTAGCAATTTCTCTAAAAGCACCTTCAAAAATTAAAAAAATAAATTGTAAATAGGTTATATTTAATGTTTCTGTGGAAAAAGATATGACGTAAAAATGCTTGCCTTTCCCAAACATCCCGTTGCACCTGTCACAAATACCTCACGACATTCGTAAAATTTCGATATGGACATTCTTCTTTCGTAAATTTATCGAACGTTCTGTTGAATATGTGAGGGTCAGACTGAATAATTTAAAATTAAATAAATAAGCTCAATTTAAATTAAATATATTTATTAAAATTAAACAAAGAAAAGATCCGTTTTTCTTAATTTTATGAAAAAGAATGTACACATTTCCTTCCCACAAAGCCGTTTGCTATCTCTCAGGAACCTTAAAAATGAATCAAGAGGAACTTATCGTAAAAATCGGCGATTGGCGAAAACCAGTAACGTGACGAAAAATATAAAAGAGGGGTGACGACGAAAAAATGGGGTCGGTTCGTCATCACCGTCCGTGAAAGGGATCCCTCAGAGCCTCCTATCCTTTAACCCGACATCGCCGAGGTATGATACCCATTATCGTAAATTCTCTCTCGGCGCAGTACGCTCGCGATAACTCCCATGTAGATACATTATCTAAGTTATGTCCAATAAATTTTTGTTTTGTTGTTAACTGGTGTTTTTAATTCGAGTATCGCTAACGTCTTACAGACGACCCGTCTCATCTCCTCCACTCGACCTGACAAAAGAATCCCGACTTTCCGGGATAGAAAAATATAAACAAGCCATCCAGTGACCAGTGGGCAGTTCTCACCAAACTGTTGCCTATCGAAAAGAGGTACTGTACTACTTCGTCCTATCTCAGGCTACCCACAAATTGGTTTTTCAGGAGTCGGGTTCGACTTTTTCAAACTATCGGTAAGGCGGTAAAAGCCTATATTCGAGTTAAAAAGTCGATTCTAGTCGAGATAAGGACTGGTAAGTTAGGAGAATTGTTAGAATAGTTATAAGAAATAGATTTAAGACTAGGAGAGATAATGGAGGACGATCTCCAACATGAAACTGCGGCAGAAAACCCTAATCCTAATCCAAAACCAAATTACCTTAAGAGGTCTGGGAGGAATAATTCCCTTATTGCCAGTATTCTCAGGAGAAGCGGGAGGTCTCCGAGTAACGGACTTTTTTGACTCCTTGGCAGATGTTACAAAGCCCCCACCAGTGGGCGAGTGGTCTCCGTAGCCGCTCATAGCGGTGACCAGACCCTAAACACTGGGAAGTTCGGTCGTGGGTTCGCGCCGCGATCGGACAGGCTGGCTGCAAGGAGTTTTCCGGGTTTTCTCCTTGCCAATAACGACTGAATAGGAGGCCAGTTCCCCTTAAAAGTCCTCCCGGAAGGCATTCTTTCCCGCACGTGCGTATAAGCCGTTAGATACGGCCGGCTCTTCGGTCGCATAGCGATCAATAACTCGTCTCTCGGAGAAAAAGCGTATCAGGCTATATATAGTCTCCATATGAACCAGAAAAAGCGTATCAGGCTATAGTCTCCATATGAACCAAGGGAGTAGAATAAGAATAAGGATGTTACAAAGGTAGCGGCATGGTCCAAAGCGCAGATGCTTGCTGTAGCCAAGTTAAAACTTACGATTTGTACGAAGTTTTTGGGAGTTTGTACGAAGAGACCGTACGATTAAGGAAGTAGATGAGTTTGGGAAATTTAAACGAATAATGCTAAATCGATTCGACAGAGAACCTTTTTCGTTTCGATTAAATAGATTTTATACGTGCGTACAAAGGAAAGACGAGGACGTACAAACGTACGCTGCTAGGTTTCAAGCGTTAGCTTGAAGCCTACCAGCGTACGGAACCCGGGGCAGATGACGCTGAAACTGCAATGATTAAACAACTACGAAATCAACTAGGATTAATGTCGTACACAAATGAGGATAAAACGTTTTGACTATAAGAGAGAAAAGATATTAAAAAGACAACACACACATGTAACTCTCGTATGTTGCCACGTACGCCATACCCCATGTGGCAGCCATTTTGGTCGACTTATACGCTATCTATATTTACTGGCACAAGCGAATAGGAACAGCGATGCCTACGTTTAAATTACGGGGAAAGAAACTTTGCATGCCGTGTGCTATCGTACGAGTCGAGGTCACAGCCCCGTGTGAAGGGATCTTGGGCCGAGACGTCATTGAAGCGGCGCGACTAAAGCGCAAGTGATGCTACCCAATCTGAAGCCTATACATTATTGCACATTTTACGGCCGCGTAGAAGGAAGAAGAGGCGGAAAGACCTAAATAAAAGGGAGAAAACTCTTCGGACATCCTGCAAATTAAACGAATAGTCCCCACCGAAAGAGAGAAGAGAGGAACCCGACAGAGACGGAGTGCACGAGTAAAAACTGCAGCCCGTAGAAAATTTAAACGACCGCTGTAAGAATACAGCGGGATAACAAAGACATGACCGTCGATCGTCCTATAGTATCAACGGAACAATACTATGTCAAAGACCTAAGTGTGGGATTGTAATAAGGAACAGTAATATGAATGTGTCAACGGTTCAGGAATTGAGCTCAGACTGACGACAGTGGCAATCAACCAAGGCCCCATTGATTATCTAATCAGAGTCTATTTCTCCCCCTATGACACTGACGAGGAGTGTGTAGAGGAACTTGGCAGTATCATGAACACACTAAGGGACTATAAATATATTGTTGCAGTTGACATTAACGCCAAATCCCCTGTCTGGTTCCACGAGAACGAAGACAATAGAGACAGGCTCCTCGTGGACCTAATGCACGAACATGACTGTATCTCTCTTAACACATCTGGCATACCAACTTTCTTCACGACAAGGGCCAGGGGCTGGACAGACATATGCCTCACACCTACAACTGTTGGCAGCATCATTGAGAACTGTGAAACACTATCGACAACCTCAGCTAGTGATCATAGATATGTTCTCACCACTGTCAGTAAAGCGCAACATCACAATACTACCAGTGACAAAAGTAACAAATTCAGCAAGAGGATCACTAACTGGGATAGTTATAGACTCCACTTTGCAGAGAACTGGCGCACTTATCATTACAAAGATATGAGAAATAAAGAGGACATTGACAAATACGCTGACTACATCACGGTCTCAATGGCAAAGGCCTTACAACTTTCCACCTCTAACAGAGCGAGGAACCAGTATCACACTCACTGGTGGACTGATGAATTAGAAGGGGACAAGCATAAAATTAGGAAGAGGATTAATTAAATTAATTAAAATTAATTAATTAATAAAATTAGGACAGCATGGTCCAGCGAACAGAACACAGAAGTAAAAGAAAGGAAAAGCATACTTTATTGCGAGGAACTCCACAAATATAAGAAATTAATTAATTATTCTAGAACAAAAGCATGAAGAAAATTCTGCAGCAGTGCAAGGGATCCTTGGTCTCAACCTTACCACACGGTATACAAGGGCAGTAAGATGGCTGCCATCCCCCGCCTAATTGACAAAGAGATAACCACAGGCAAATACGACATAAATACCAACATCAAAAGACTTTCACTTCCCTGTCGACAAACAAGAGGAAGACCAAGACATTCACAAATGTACGAGGAGAAAAATAACCACATACACAGGCAACTCAATAAATGGATGGTTCTCCTTCCGAGAAGTGGAAAGGGCTATAGCTTCCCTGGCCAATAAGAAATCCCCTGGAATAGATGGCACAACTGCAGAGATGCTTAAACATGCTTTCCAAGAGGTTCCTACAGCCTTTGTTATTCTCTTCAATGCCTGTCTCAATAATGCTTATTTCCCCAACCAATGGAAAATAGCAAATGTAAAGTTCATCCCCAAGACACCCAACCCTACAATTGAGAAAGATTACTGTCCTATAAGCCTTCTCCCTGTGCTCGGCAAAGCCCTTGATGGTATGATCATTGGGAGGCTGAATTGGCACTTGAGTAAGACCAACAACATGCATGAAATCCAATATGGTTTCAGAAAAGGCAAGTCCACAGTAAAAGCCAAACAAAATGTTAAAAGCTTTATCAAGGAAGCATGGGAACAAGACAATCATGCCGTTCTTGTCAGCGTGGATTTTCGTAAGGCATTCGACCATCTTTGGTGACCGACTGTCATGGACAGGTTACAGAGTGTAGACTGCCCGACCATCATCATCAAGTTAATAGCAGCTACCTGAGTGATAGGAATGTAGGGTTTTCCACCGACACCATCCAAATAATCAAAGACATAAATAGAGGTTGTCCGCAGGGTTCCCGCTGTGGACCAGGGATATAGAACCTCGTCTACGACACTTTATTAAGCATTATCCCCAAGGAGGAAAATAACATGAAAATACAGGGCTTTGCCGATGATACGCTTCTACTCATAAGGCACCGGAACCGTGACATCCTACAACTCAAAGCAAACGAGATCTTACAAAAGATTCTTACCTGGAGTAAGACCAATAAATTACCCATAAACTATGATAAATGTGAAGCACTGGTCTGCACCAGAAAAGCTAATAGAAAGCAGCTACAGCGACCCTTAGGGCTATACATTGACAACCATAAGATCAAAATCACATCACATCTAAAATATAGAGTTTCTCAAACGGGATTCCGGGATCCCGGTTGTTTTTTTAACCCGGGAAATTTTTCTTATCCCGGGAAATCCCGCAAATTTCTTAAAAATTCACTTTTTTTCTTATTTTGTGTTAAGGTTGAGGAATTTTGCAAATAGAAAGCATAATTAACTCATAAACTGTCAGAATACATTTGTATTTATCAATTTTAAACCTACTTATTAGTTTCTTAAGTTTTTGCTCATTATAGCATGTCACAAATGGTCAATAATCAATACATAGCTTATTTGTGTCATGACTCTCAAAATTCTTTACTTGTTGGAACCTGTAATATCTGGAATAATTGTGCTTATGCTGTCTTAATTTTTAACCATGCCCAATAGCTTCGATAACGCGTAACACCATGTTGTACGATGTCTGTAAGTACGAAGTTTTTCTTCATAAACCTGATGATCAAAGACAAACTAACTGACGAATTATTGGGCTATAAGCTTGATGTTTCTATTAAAGCAGTCGAAGTAGACAAATGAAGAATACTAGAGAGCAAAAGAAGTATTACAACCTCGAAAACGAACTCGAAATCTTCCAGGCTACAGGTGAAAAAACACATAATATCTGTCTTCTCTTAAATGCATTAAACACTATTCCAATCACATCAATTGAATCGGAAAGGGCATTCTCGGTGGCAAGACTTTTCATTACTAAAATAAGAATTAGAGTGAGTTATCGGAGTATTGACCATCTTTGCTTTTTAAAATCTTATAAAAGTTTGCAATATTTTGTATTATATTTTATTTAAAAAACGAAAATTACCTTCTAAATTAGAAGTTCATTTTTTTAATTTTTAACTCAATTCAAAACATTTTTTTTGTTGTTGTTGTATGCAGTTTCCAGCAAACTTTAATTAATTTTTTTCTATTTGTGAAAATTTCTACGTTATTTAAAGGTAATTTTTATTATAGGCCTATAGACCTTACACAGCATTATTAATATGATTTTGGAGGTTACAGAACTTTAAAATTACTTTAAAAAATGGAAAATAATTATATCATTTGATTTCAAGATATTTTGTATACCTTAAAAATAATTAATTCTATCCCGGGATTTCCCGGGGTTCCGGGAAACAGTTCACTTTTATTCCGGGATCCCGGGACAAGCAAAAGACCGGGAAATGAGAAACCCTACTAAAATATTTTGGTGTATACATCGATCCAACACTGAGTTGGAAGTTTCACATCGAGGAACTATGTAAGAAGATGCGCCAACGTATCAACACCATCCATCATATGGCCCGCAAAACTTGGGGGATTGGCAGTAGGAACACCAATCTCATTTATAAAGGTGCTATTGAGCCAGCACTGCTATACGCAACGCAGATTTGGGGGGGGGAGAAAGCAAGGCTGGTGCACAATAGAAGAAAATTACTTTCTATTCAAAGGGGTATGGCATTAAGGATATGCAGTGCCAATTGCACTGCACCCACGGATGCACTGCTAACAATTGCCAACGTAACACCAATTCACCTGAAGAGATGTTAGATGCTAGAGGATTCAGATGCTAGAGGACTCACATGTTATTAAAGATATTCCCCTGTTCTAGAAAAAGATATCTAATCCAAGAAACGAACTTAAACTCAAGCGACATTATCCGAAAGACAGAACATCTCGTCAGTGAGATCGAGATTTATCTCCAAATTAGTGTTATTCTTGATAAATATAATGTTATTACCCATTAACGCTTAATTCCTTATTTATAACAACTCGCGACTCAATTTTTATTTTCCGATATTATCTCGTAGAGAATCTTTATGATTAGTTATTTTAATAATCAGGAATACATTTCCGAGAAGAATTTATATGTGAAAATACATACCTCGATTCCTATCCAGGGAATAAACTCTAATCAAGATAACTTCTTATTAATATTTTTTTCTCCCTGAACAAAAACAGTGCCACTTCCTCACTCTTCCCGAAAGACTTCGAACTCACCGGACACTGCTACCGTTCAAACGATCTTGAGCGCTGGCGACCTCATAAACTCTTAATCCTAATACTTATAATAAAGTGGTATCAACCAACATGAAAATTCTCCAACAGCCCAACCAAGTTACATCTGTAACTCCCATATTACAATATCTGCCAAAGAACCACTAAGCACGAACAAAGAAGACAGAGAACTCCTAACCGATACACGTGGCCCACATCGAACTTTGAACTGTTACCCTCGTACCCAGGACCTGAAGAACGTCAATCAATTAATCTACACAACTAACGGAAGAGGAAGTACACTTCCGCTCGGTTCACTAACCGCAGCCGTACACTTGTATTCTAACATTTTATAGAATTTTTATTTGTTTGTTAAAATTAATCAAAATACTTAAGTGTCGGAAACCCAAAGATTGTTAATATTATTACAGAGAGAGTAAATTGTACCCCTTTTACCCAAATTCAAAATCGAACTTGCTCCTTGAAGAACAAGTACGATTTTAGAAAGGGCGAAGTAATGTGAGGGTCGGACTGAATAATATAAAATTAAATAAATAAGCTCAATTTAAATTAAATATATTTATTAAAATTAAACAAAGAAAAGATCCATTTTTCTTAATTTTACGAAAAAGGATGTACACATTTCCTTCCCACAGAGCCGTTTCCTATCTCTCAGGAACCTGAAAAAATGAATCACGAAGAACTTATCCTAAAAATCGGCGATTGGCGAAAACCAGTAACGTGACGAAAAATATAAAAGAGGGGTGACGACGAAAAAATGGGGTCGGTTCGTCATCACCGTCCGTGAAAGGGAAACCTCAGAGCCTCCTATCCTCTAACCCCACATCGCCGAGGTATTATCCCCATTATCGTAAACTCTCGGAGAAATACGCTCGCGATAACTCCCATGTAAATATATTATCTAAGTTATGTCCAATAAATTCTTGTTTTGTTGTTAATTGGTATTTTTAATTCGAGTATCGCCAACGTCTTACCGACGACCCCTCTCACCTCCTCCACTCGACTTGACAAAAGAATCCCGACTTTCCGGGATAGAAAAACATAAACAAGCCATCCACTGGCTAATGGGTAATTCTCACCAAACTGTTGCCCATCGAAAAGAGGTACGACTTCGTCCTACACCAAACTACCCACAAATAAATCAATAATGAAAATAAAAATATATTTCAGAAGCAGATGCAATTGCTTTCTTCCGACTTTAGAACGTTCATAAAATAATTTCCCCATGATCTTCTAAATAAATTTTGAGCAATATATGGCTTAAATAATGTTAAATAAACGAAAACAAGATGCATATTATTCTTTCACGTTGCTGCATATTTTTAAATTAAAGAAACAATAAGGCGTATTAGCACAAAGTTAGAATTGTCTGTGGCGTTTCCTGTTACGAAATGTTATTGAAAATGAAATTTTCCTATTATGAAAACAAAAATGGCATAATTTTGAGCTTATATTTAGAAAATACAATATTAAGAATTCAGGTCATTTATCGCTGTTATCAGTTAAATATTCGTGAAATGTGCATCAAAATTTGATTCCCTATCTCATAATGTTATGTTATTTTATACAATATTGTAGATGTGATTATACGCGATATAACAATACACATATTACCTTATTTGCATGATTAAATAATACAATTGATATTCAGTAATAAGTTTCTACTATTATGA